GTCAGGGAGCATTAAGCAACTCACTGAGCCAAATAAATTTTAAGCTCAAGCAAACCGCTGTCTTCTCGAAACAGTGGAAATGCTCAATAATAAGTCCTAAACACAAGAATATATAAAAATCAAATAACAAAAAACATTTATTTATGTAAGCGAAAACCAAATAACAAAAATCACAAGAATAAACAAAAATCTCCCTCTCATCGATCACATCAAAAAATTTTACGCGATGCGTCTTCTTGACCCTCTACGACCACTAAAAAAATAATTGATTATTTTAAAATTGTAAATTGAACAAACGTTTTCGCACAATTTTAGTGCATCTTCAAGTTTAAAAATCTAACTAATATGTACAGAATGATCAAAAATCAGAAAAGTGTCAAACACATTATTCATAAAAATAATATAACAAATTGTTACATAATTTCTATCATGCAATCAAATTTTAAATATTCCGCCAAATTAATTCTGCGTGTTTGTTATTTTTTTCCAATTTCTTTATCCCAAATTTTCCACTAACCCTTTTGAATGTTTATTTTGATTACCTTGAATAATTCATTTTCTGAGCCATAAAAAAAACCTTTCGAAGATAAATTGTCTGAACTGCATTTTCGCTTTCTTCCAGAAAAGTCAGTAATTTTACTATTGTTTTCAGTCTCTCGAAAACCTATATGCGTAGAAAATTGTGATTTAATATTGCAGTTCGATTTTTTAAAGCCTTCAACAAAAAGTATAAAATTTCTTTAAAAAAATTGTTTGATATCGGTATTTCAGAAAAAAATGTTTCTCCTGATCGGAATTATTAGCACAATAGTACCCAAAGAGTCAGAATTGATGCATTTGAGTCCGAACCCGAGCCAATTATCTCTGGAGTTCAACAGGGTCCACTCTTGGATCTATATTTTTTCCTTTTATCAAATAAATTATCTAAATTTAATTGTGCAATCTTTAGTTGTACTTACAATTGCTAATTACCTCAAGTTGATATATGGAAGAAAATGTCCGAAAAAATCAGAAGATCAGAAAATTCTGTAGCTAGCAAAACCGTTTAGTTTATAATTGCAATAGATATTTAGTCACTGAGTTAATCTCTAGTCAGAAGCAATGAAAAGCCGAATTCTACCAACTTAGGCTTGGAACGGAAAATAGAAAAAATATATAGAATATTTAGAATTTATCATCGATGATCCTTAAGTGAATGCGATTATATCAAGAAACGAATCGGTAAAGCATTTTCAAGTTTTTTCCTGCTCAAACGGAACACGTCAGTTTTAACAACCATTTCAACAGAAACCAATTTGTAAAGGGTATAAATATGCATCAGTGTCTTTATGCGTCAGAAATTGTTCTTCTGATAGTCGGTTATACAAGCAATCGTTGATTTTTTTTGAAATTTTTGCCTGTGCTATATATCAATCGTTTCAAAGAATTGTCATTCTTCAGCAATATTATTAATGGGCGGTATGGGGCTAATTATGCAAATTATTATTTAATCCGAGAAGAAAGAGGACACACATGACAAAGTTTATCAGAAAAACGATAAGAGCTCCGGCATAGCAGCTTCTGGTATGGCACTGGTTTCATAATTAACTTCATCCAGTTCTGATAAAACTCATTTGAAAAGAAAACTGTTAAGACTTATGTGGAACTTCTATTCAACATACTGGACTGAAAATAACACATGCATATGGTTCTTCATCTGTTTTTGCTGTAATTGTTAAGCTAATACACAGTCAAAATTGGGTCAATATCTCGATGGCTAATACAAGAAGTCATTATAATCAAAATTATTTTAAAAAAAAACCGTATGAGTTACTTCTCCAAGAAGTCATGATAATCATAATCAGGGGCGGATTTAGGAGGGGGGGCGGACGCCCCCCCTCAGGGATTCGACCCCCTTCCGAGTCAAAGGGTCCCCCCTTTAGTACTTTTTAAGAAATCCATTTTGGGCCGAACGACCCTAAAATTTTTCTAAAGGCGCCTTGGGCGCCAATATATACTAGTTTTGATGGGGGAGCGCGCGCCGAAAAAAACGCAATTTTTTGGTCAAAATTTTCCAAAAGTGCCTAAAAACCCTTTTTTAGACTGTTTTTTTTTAATTTGGCCTCAACAGGGACTAAATGCTTAGGGAGAGCTCGAAAAATCAATTTGGTCGACCTAAAAAAAAAGTCTACAAAATTCCCCCCTCGAGAAAATCCTAGATCCGCCCGTGATCATAATAACAAAAAAAATACGTTCAAAGATTCTTTTTGAAATTTCTAAATAACATTTTCGAGTTTGTCTTACAAAATTGAACTAGAAATTATCAAATTCAAAACACAAGATGCTCATTTTCACCGTTGAGGAAACCATTAAAAAAGCTTTAAGATTTAATTTGAATTGAACATCAAAACTGATACCGCGCTCGTCAACCTTTAACTGCATTTTCGATGACAAATTTTTGATTGAACATGTTGGTTTTGGAGCGAAAACGGCAAACAGGAAATTATCTTGCAGAAAATTATCTTATTTTAAACTAGAGTAGTCACTTCGAATCCAGAGAAACAACTGGAACAACTATATAGAAAAAACCAGTTGCTTTAATGCAGTCTCTGCGACACTATTTCACATCTTCCCAGACTCCGTAGAAAACTTGATAAGAACTCTTGGTGCCTAAGCCACAAAAATCTAAACTTCAACTTAGCTTCGCTTTTTTCCTTCATTTTTGTCATGCCATGAGTACAATGCAGCTCAATTTTAAACTGATTTTCTGGCTAGGTTGAGATAGACGAAATGAGAGTTGAATCAAACAGACTGGATCAAGCTAAAAATTGTTACAGGAAAACATAACTACCCTCAATGCAATTATCGCCTCCGGTTTTTGACGGTATCTGCATGCTCACGACATTTACATAGGGTTGTGCATTCAATTCAAGCAAGACTGCATGAGTTTTTTTGGTTCGTTTTTTTTTGTTCAAAACGGTTTTTTTGATGTCCTTGAACCACAAACTGATTGACTTCGAATGTAATGGCTAGTAGAAACACGGTTTTTTTGTCCTGGCCTCGAGCCAATAGCTATCAAACAACTGCTAAATTTTTTTTTTATGACGCATTCCTGGTTGTAGTAAGCCATTACTCCAGAAAACACAACCAAAAGTTCCGGAAACAGTTGAAAATGTCGCGAAACACTATATTGAAAAAACAGATAAAAAGAAAGTTTAGATAGCTCTAGAATTTTTTTCTAAATCAAACTTTCGATTAGCGGTCTGACCTTGTTGAGAAGATTAGCGAAAAATGACACAACAGCCGAAAACAAGACAAAACTGTCGGAAGAAGTAGAAATTGATATTAGAAAAGAAGCTACCGGACGTAAAACACGATACATGGGTTGTCTATCATTTTGGGTAGAATTGGAAGGTTCTGTGTAAAAAAGGTAATGGACTCTAACTATCATGTGCCAGCAAAATGTGAGAATAACGTTTTTATCCCCGAAGAATTGCGGAAACACAATTCTTCGGGGATAAAGCCTAATAACTATTTGATAGGTTTTATGGAGCTTTTAACCACTGGGATGGCCTGAAGATTTTAATCTAAAACATAATAGAGAAGGAACATATTGGATCTTTTAAATAACGGTCACTGAAAAGAACTTCAAATAAAATATTAAATTGTGTTTCTAGTTTAAACGAGGTTGTCTGGGCATTCGATTATCCCGGATTGACAAAAAAATTTATCAAAAAATTTCATGCAATTAAAAAACGCGTGTCTTACAATTGCATTCAATGACAAGAAAATTGTGTGAAAATAACACAATAAGCAGTGTTCTATACTATGAAATTCATAGAGATGTATGAAACACTGTAAGAAAATTTTTGCTACACTCTGGGAATAAATAAATAAGTTTTTTGCCCTACTTTTTGTCTCAAAAGTTTTGTGAAAAGACTGAAAGCATTTATTTTTACTATGAAATTGTATGAAAAAAAACGTTTGTTCCATAAATTTAATTTTGTTTTAAATTGTGTGTTTTAACCAAAAACACAAGGACCAAGGATTGAAAAACCCAAAGTGTAAGTTGCAGTAAGCGCGCAGATCAACAGCATTTGGTGATATTGCCCATGTAAGTTCTTGTTAACAATTTCACTCAGAGCTATATGCTAAAAACGTAACATTTTGTTTATGGCTGGGAAGTTATTGTTCCGACTTTCGATACGAAAGTAACGGAATATTTGTGCTCGGGGTGGGTTTTTTTCTTCAGACAAAATTCGACTTTTTAACTAGCCATTTTTGACGGAATTTTTTAATATCATTCGAAAGCCATTGTTGTCCTGAGCTTAAATTTGAAAAGTTTTTTTTTTTATTTCATTTAATTTTTTAAAGTTATTACTGCTCCATAAACCTTAAAAGGCAGTCGGAACATTCAGGGCTTCGCCTTGATACGAGCAGTCTTGTTACTATTTAGTGGTTGAGGGAAGAAGCCTTTTTTTGTTTTTCTTAGCATATAAAAATTAAAAATAATCATTGTGTTGAAAAAAATGCTCGTTTGTGATTTTTGATTTTTTTGGTGAAAAATTCAACTTGAACTACGCTATAGACTCAAACTATCAAATTTTGCATGCAAATCTATTTCATAAAATGTGTATTTGAGCACAGGACCGAGCTTGCAAGAAAATATAGTAAAAAAACTCTCTACCTCAAATGTGTATGGTTTATGGAAAAATGGATATGATACATTTTCATATATGAAGTTGTATGATGATTTTTTGTCAATTTCTTAATTGATGCCAACGATACTTTGATGTTACCAAAACTGCCACAAGTATGTTTTGTTTGAATTTTAAACCAATTTAAGATTTTTTTTTTAAATCGATTGAAAAAATGCTCATCATACAGTTTTCTTCTACGAAAATTGCATGCTAAGCAATTTATCCGTAGACTCCGTATATGAAGTTTGATTATATGAGTTGTTTAAGATCATCAGCACAAGAACCACAGTTTGAAGAAAACGCATTTTAGTACATCATAAATTCAAGAAGTTCGCTTACAAAGAATAACACAAATTTTTCAAAACAATAGCTTCTTTATACAATTTTTTGAACTGCTCTGAAACATTACTCAAATTCGCGTTATCAATTTGCTCAACGCAGTCTGATTTTGTTGAGCTAGAAAACCTTTTCGCAACATTTTCAGCTGTCGTATTCAGTAAACCCATTTCTTCAATGAATAATGGCATCATGAGCTCTTTTTGTTTTTCGGAATCTGCGTCAACATCTATACAAGATGCCAGAAAGCTAGGGTCAATATTTGACAACTGGTTTCGGATTTCATGAAAGGCTTCAATAAGCAGTAAAGCCGATTCGCTGACGTCTCCGGCAATCGGATTGTAAAACAGAGCTGACTCGGGATTTCTGATGACGAGAACTATTCGGAGATCTATAGCTAGTAGAGAACATATTTCGGCTATGTGTCGTAAATTAGGATATGTGACTAGAGGTCTGCTTCGCTGCTTTTCAGCATCTTGCTCGCTGCCGGGAGAATCGCGGTAGCATTTTGGATAAGGCAAATGAGAAGCACCTGAAAAAACGGGATCACTTGTAACATGGATCCATTCCTTTTTGATTATACCCACAGGTTTTTAACAACAGTTGAATCGCATGTATTTTTTGAAAAAATTGCAACATGAGATGCGCATTTAGGAGGAATTTGAGACTATGGCCGCCTCGGGTTCTGCTTTGGTGATATTTTAAATTTCCCCTATTTTTGGTATACGAACTAAAATTTGCTTTCATAAGGCTTCTTTGCCATGTACACCAAACTTTGAGCATCTCAATTTATGATTCTTTAGCACAGTGGTAAGGCGTTCACTTTGATATCGTCAGATCGTGTATTCGATCCCATGCCATGGCAATGATAGTGTGTGAGGACAAGCTCTCACTTGACCTCCAGATTCAGGTCTACCACAACCTGAACAAATTTGGCTGCAATAGTGGTACCACGTAAAAGTTCTAGACGCAAAAAAATGGCCTTAGGTCGCAAAAAACAGCTTCGCTCAGCAAAATAACACTATCTGGAATGTGGGGAGATAATAGAAATGGACTATCCTCGACAGGACTGTTAAGGCCTACTGATAGCTCCTCTGCGATTCGCAGGAACTACAATTAATTCTTCGGTAAATATTTTCAGTAAAGGTCTGGCAAAGGCTTCTCCTGAATTTATTAGTACTAATCTGCGATGGTCCTTATTTATAAACCTTGCCAATAAGCAAAAATAAATGTTTAATAAAATATTATGATTTCTTCACGATTTGTGCTACGATTCTTACCATAAAGGGTATTGAGAAATATGACAGGATGGGGGTGGTGTTGGAGGTCGTAGATGAGTTGGTCCAGATTCTGTCTATTGGCAAATGGCGTCTCGTCTCTGTTCACATCCCGCGTACAAGTTCCCGCTAGTCTTGCGTAAGTACCAAACGGACTACACACACGCTTGTCCGATGCCTATGCAAACAAAATCACCTTTTCTGTTATTTTGAAATAAAACAAAACCAAAAAAAGTCTTTCATCTCCCATTTAAATACTGAAAATGTTTGAATCTTAGTGACACTCAGAAAATATTCTTTTATCTTTCGCTTTAACTAGGGGTGGAGTTATCAGGGAGCGGACGCCACGTCGTCTTAGGGATTCGGCTCCCTTTAAACCCAGGTCTCTTGAAAGCACGCACCCTCTATTGGAGATAAACCTTTATCAAACTTAACTTAAATCTTTTGTTTTAGTGTCAATACTTCTTGTGATCCATTCTTGGATGATTCATTCAATGTAGAAATTTTGACGTTGATTTCTTCGTCTGTAATGCTAAACGATTTTACTTTTATGACAGAAAAGGTGTGGTAGATAAATCAGCCAAACTAAAACCAACCGAAGTATAAACCAGCTAAAAAACTCAATAGTTTTTTACTGTTACAAAACTCATGCAAATTTCTTTCATTAAATAAATTTTTGGCTTGCTCATATACTCCGCCCATTTTCGGTTGATTGATGCTTTGGCTGGTTTATTTACTCTCAGAATTTAGTTATCAAGAAGATCAATTCACATTGCAATTGGGGAACTTGATAGTCTAAGTTTTTATATAAACAAGGATAGCCGGTTAGTGTGCCAATAGCACAAACTATTCAGACCATATTCTTAAAAAACTACTTAGAAAGTTTCTTTTTTCAAGTTGCGTCATTTTTTGGATCTTGGTAAGATGAGAGTATTCACTAGAGCTTCGATTGGTAAATTAGGTACTTCTGTCAGCGTCATTAGGTAATTTACTTCATGAAATAAAAACATTTAAAACATTTTAAAAATTCCAAAAAATAATTTCAAAATTTCTGCAGAAAATTTCAATAAGTTTTTCTAGAAGTTTTATTCCCAAGAAGGCGTTAAAAGAATTTGCAATAACTATTTTTATACCAGAGTAAAACTAAGTTTTATCGGCCTAACTTGATTCAAATCTATTTTAAAAGCATGTATTACAAGCTGGGCATTCAACAGTGCCAAAAAACAGTGCCGAAACTGCAAATGTATTCAACAGTGCAGAAAAATAATGATATTTAAGTTCCGTTTGTAAATTCGCGGCAGTTTTGCATAAATACTGTTTTTTTTGGAGCAAACCAAGCGAAAAATTTGACAATTTTTGCTGAGTTAATTTTTGTTCAGAAAAATGTTTGACGCCGCTCATGGGCAATTTTTGTTTGCTTAACAAGCGGTACGATCTAAAATAGTCATTTTTGTCTCATCAGATTTGCTTCAATTTGAGTATAATTAATTGTCAGTGATTTGTGATGGGTAAAAACAGTATTCAAAAGTTTTGGGCACTGTTGAACACAATTTTTACTTTCCGCACCGTTGTAGTTCGGCACTATTGTACTGCCCACTACACGCTCGCTTCATTTGCTCGAAATTAGACTGTAAATCAAAAAACTGAGAAACAATTTTTTGAATATTTTGAAATTTTGTTCGAATCACGACTGAAAGGGCTTTAATTCCGATGATTATGGTACCTGATTTTGCTTTAAAAAATAAAATGTAAACCCACCAGAATACAAAGTTCCTTCCATTTTCAATGATCGAAACAATAACAAAGTGTTTATCAGGCCTTATATTCACAAAAAAAAAGTTTTTTTCTGTACAATTTATGAGCCACGCTCAAAATTAATTCAACATCCAAATGGTCCGTTTTTGATTTTTTTAAATTTATATAATGCTAAAAAGGGAGAGTTTCTTCAAAAAGCAGAAAAATAGACATATATTACACTGTTGTATTATCAACTGACCTGTGCGCATATTGGCCTGAACTCTTTCTGCACTATATCGTGACCCGCCCCATTCACCCCCACAAACAACACCGCCTTCCTCCTGGCTAGGTCAGGGGTCACATTTCTAATGAGAGGCATCATCCGGTTACGCGAGGAGAAGGACGACGAAAGCTCAAGTCTGCAAATTGGTACAAGTATGATAGTTGTATTGAATCCCTGAAAATTTTATGGGTCCCTGAAGGAAAACTTATGGCCTTAAAGTCTTTTAGAAAGTAAATTTGTTTATAGTTCGGTTTAAAAAAATTGCTAAGGCAGCGGGACCAATTTTTCATTTCAAACTAAAATCACGCTTGATAAAACGGGATCCTCAATCGAACTATCAACAAGGTTCAATTAAAACTGAAAATTGGTCAAATCAAATGTTACCGCACCAATTATAAAAACAGATGGATTAAACTCGTAAAAATTTGTCAGTAAAATGTTTTTTTTTTCCTTTCAGTAAAATAGTTTTGCAAGGAAACTAACTATCATACCTGTACCTAGAAATTTTCAACTTCATTTCATCTTCAGGTTTTATGGTCCAAAAATAATCGGGCCAGTTTCCTTTCGAGTTTTCACACACTTTGTACCCTGAAGTCCCAAAATAAAGCTGTCTAAGTTCTGATAGCTTCAGATTTTGGTCAATTCGCGCTTCTATTTTTTGCAGCTGTTTTGATAGCACATTTGATGACCGGAACGGATAATTAATTTCTAATGAAAGATCGAGTAGAAAATAATAATTCAAGGAGAAAAATACAAGAATAACTAACAACAAAACACCTAATAAGTTTTTCTTTTTCCTGGAAAACTTAACGATTTTATGCGATAAAGTTTTCTTCATTTTCACACGTATTATATTTAACACTGAGTTCCTTTTAATTTGGCAGACTTTTTTCCACAGCTCTTAAGTCAAAAAGCAGATGTTAGTGAACCGGTAATTCAAATGGAAAAACCATAACTAATTGCCAATATTAAGAAAAAAGTCACTTCATGACTTTCCGGTAGCACAAACACGCCATAAGGTCATAATGCATTGTTATAATTTCATAACGAAAATAGTACTAAAATAAGATCTTCACTGTTTTTATTTCAGAAGATAGAAAACGGTTCCAAACATTCGAATATTTCACCTTCAACCAAAATTACGCTTAATAAAACGGGATCCTCAATCGAACTATCAACAAGGTTCGATTGACACTGATAATTGGTCAAATCAAATGTTACCGCACCAATTACAAAAATCGATGGATTGAACTCGTTGAGTTTCGTCTCAAATGTCTGAAAAACATCCTGATGACACGAGTTAATCATTCAGCTACACGATGTTTTTGAAGACAAAGATTTAATTTTGAGTAAAGACTGCTATTTTTCAAAAGACTGCTGTATATAATGCACGTTTTTGCTCTCAGGTATACCAATTTAAGACTGTGTGTTTAGATTCAAGTAATAAAAAAATAAAAGATTAACAGAATGTTTTGTGGTTTGCAAGCTTTTATGAGTATATATGGTATGAAAAGCGAGCGAAATATAAGATGCAAGAATAAGGAGTGTTTCGACCATCCTAATAGATATAACTACATTTTAATGATTCAATATTGAATAGCAGCTGCCATTTTCAAAACAAACATGCTGAAATGGTGTTGCTGAAGAAAAATTAAATTTGCTGAAGAAAAACTGTTGAAAATTGCATTGAAAGTAAATACCATTTAATCTAAAAGTTTTAAAAATTGTTCAGTATAAATTATAAAACATTTCAATGTTCATAACTTCTTGGTTAGATAAAAAAGGTTATGAGCATTATAACAGGTATGACGCATTTCAGTGTTCAAAAACTCTTGGTTAGATTTAAAAAAGTTCTCTTATAACAGTATAAAAAGTTCTCTAATTTTTGGTAATTTAGCGGGCAAATTTGCTCGACTTTAAGTGGAGACCGGCTGAAAAGCATGTGCACCAAAGGGTCCTAAATCACGCTAATTCGAGCAACTATAGCTATTAAGTCATTCTTCGACGCCGTTCGATACTTTTCAAGATTTTTTCTCAAACGCAATAACCTGCCTCATTTGCTCAATTTTATTTGATGACAAACTAAGATGACATCGTCGAGGTAATAAATTGAACACTTAGTCACCGTGGTAAAAAACTGAACAATTTTGAAGCACTGTATTTTCATTAGGGTTCCTGATAGTTTCTTGAGACCTGATATATTGATTGCATTCGACTGAACAGTTATTTGATGATTATTGAAGTTGAAATTTTGAATTGAGCGAACTTGAAAAATTCCATTAAGCTAATGTATAAAAAGTTATAATTTAGAATAATAGAAAATTTTATTAAATTAGGTTTTGCCTGGAGAACACCTAATTGAAACTAGTTGATCATTCTAGTATATCCGTGACCTGCGAGAAACATAACATTTAGTTGCTTTTACGGTCAACAGCTACGAAATCTAATTTTAACAGTTGAATTCTGTTTTGAATTACTCAGAACCTGTTGCATTAAAATTTGATTACTCCAACATTTGAAAAGAAGAACGGTCGTTTTGTGTTTGAGCGGTTTTTTCTCCAAGCATTTTTGCGACTTCTAAACAAGTCATTTTATATTATCTGAGAAATTTTTGTCTTGAATTCAATATCAAAAAATATTTAACCTGTAACCAATTTTATCCAAAAGCCAAAGGTTTTGAAAATTTTCTATTTGGCTAATTTAGACAATAACGCGCGATGCATTTTGTTTTATAAAAGCACAATCGGCGATTCAATCAGGATTAGAAATCATTATAAGCGGAGTCCTGCTAGTTGTTCTAACTAACTCGTTAAAGAGTGCTAAAATTTCAAATTAACTTTTAAAGAGCAAGTATGTTGATAATTTCTTTACGAAATAAATATTTCTTCAAAATTTTTCTTTATTTTTTGAAAAAATTTATGAAGTTTTTTAATTGAACCCTACTGAAAAGGCATTTAAGGTCAACGGGTATCCTTCGGTCTTCTTGATACAAAAAGTCTCTTTTTATGTTATGTGAGAAAGTATCTGAAGAAAAACAAGACTGCTCGTATCAGGACGAAGACTTGAACATTTGGACTGCCCATTAAAGTCTATGCAGTAGTATTCGCCTTACAAAAATTGATGAGTTTTCCAAAACAAAAAGAAAATGTATGGACTTTTTTGAATATTTTTTCAAACTATCCACCGCACGCTAGCTAAATACAAAATGATAGATTTCGGATATAGCAAAGCATTGAGTAGACCGAAGAGGAGACATGACTTCAATTTGGAAGAATTTCTCAGACGGATTGAATATCCACATACGCAATTATCGCACAAATTCTTTTGGACGTTAAAGAGCACCCGAGCAAAAATTTTCAGCCAATTTCTTCGAAAGTCGGAACAAAAAATGCTCAAAGATGACTGATAGAATCAGCTAGCCATACAAGGTAATCTTAGAACAGTTTGTTCGACTCATACATAATTATAATTACGAGACCAAACATTAACTTTCTGGGTTTGTAACGGACTCCGTGTTTGTGTTTGTAATAAATTTGTACCAATATTTCCGCTTTGTTTTTCTGCAAATTCTAATTTTACTTTTTCGTTTCACTAAATTCAAAAGAAAAATTTAATTACTCCGGCAAATCAGGTGTCTTTAAATTATGGGAACATTTGAGATAATTTAATATTTTCGGTACGAACACCCAAAAAAGCAATAATCGCATGGGATCCTAGAAAACTAGACGATAAGCAAATTAGACGGATACTACAAAAACGAAATAAGATGGAAATTATTTCTTACAGATCTGGCATTTTAGACTAAAAAGCTATAAAAAGGAAAGGGCCAACAAATTTTTTTCTTAAGAGTCAAGTTTCACAAATACAAAAAAAACATAAAATGTCAATGCCTATCAAAACAATTAGCTAACATGAACATAAAATGTCAAATCTGAATATTACAGGAGAGTTTTGAATTGAATAAATTATGCATGATTGACTTGTAAAGTTTTTGGCCACCGAAATTGAACTGTTGTCTACAAACAATTTAATTTTCTAACGCAATTTGTGTGCAAACAAAGTCAATTTCTCTCACTTTCGTCTATTTTCTCACAATTGCAGATTTGCAAACCTGTCTAATTTCCTTTTAAGTACCTCCGTATAATTTGCTTATCGTCTAATTTCTCAACCCCCAATCGCATGCTAGTAGACGCACTTGGTTATAGCTGCTCTTTCAGCTACACCTTTGAATTATTTCAAACTTTAGTTTGCTGATATCGACAACTGTGACAACTTGTGCAATTGAGTTGAAAACAGTGATGCACGCATCTTCATCACGGAAAAAAACATTACGAGATGCGCGCATCTTCATTTGACCAATCATACTTTGCCATACAACTTATTCTTTTCTTTTTGCTCGAATTATGGGTTAACTCCAACGGGTGCCGGTCATCAACTAGACAGGTCTTCAAGCCGAATCGTAAAATTAGGAGCTTCCTGTCGAACAGTTTCTCTAAAAGTCATGAAAAATGATTAAATTTAAAATCGCTTTGAAGAATTTTTCAAGTTCAAGATCTTTTTTTATACCAGTTTGAGGCTTCTTCATAAATTCTAAAACCTCCAAATTAAATTTGAGAAAAATCAAAAAATTAAAAAATTTTTAATCTGTTTCTCTTAATAATTCTTACAATTCAATTCAAAATTCGGCTATTGTATTTAACGGACACCCCTCCTAAGTGGCTCACTGTCACGAATAAAGCCTCTTATGGGCTAAACTTGCCCTAATTTTTGAATTTGTCAGTAAAACAGTTTTGTCAGTTCATTAAAATAGTTTTGCAAGGAAACTAACTATCATACCTGTACCTAAAAATTTTCAACTTCATTTCATCTTCAGGTTTTATGGTCCAAAAATAATCGGGCCAGTTTCCTTTTGAGTTTTCACACACTTTGAACCCTGAAGTCCCAAAATAAAGCTGTCTAAGTTCTGATAGCTTCAGATTTTGGTCAATTCGCGCTTCTATTTTTTGCAGCTGTTTTGATAGCACATTTGATGACCGGAACGGATAATTAATTTCTAATGAAAGATCGAGTAGAAAATAATAATTCAAGGAGAAAAATACAAGAATAACTAACAACAAAACACCTAATAGGTTTTTCTTTTTCCTGGAAAACTTAACGATTTTATGCGATAAAGTTTTTTTCATTTTCACACGTATTGTATTTAACACTGAGTTCCTTTTAACTTGGCAGACGTTTTCCGCAGCACTTAAGTCAAAAAGCAGATGTTAGTGAACCGGTAATTCAAACGGAAAAGCCATAACTATTTGCCAATATTTTAAAAAAAGTCACTTCTTGACTTGCTTCTAGCACAAACGCGCCATAAGGTCAGGTCACAATGCATTGTTATAATTTGATAACGAAAATAGTACTAAAATAAGATCTTCACTGTTTTTATTTCAGAAGATAGAAAACGGTTCCAAACATTCGAATATTTCACCTTCAACCAAAATTACGCTGAATAAAACGGGATCCTCAATCGAACTATCAACAAGGTTCGATTGACACTGATAATTGGTCAAATCAAATGTTACCGCACCAATTACAAAAATCGATGGATTGAACTCGTTGAGTTTCGTCTCAAATGTCTGAAAAACATCCTGATGACACGAGTTAATCATTCAGCTACACGATGTTTTTGAAGACAAAGATTTAATTTTGAGTAAAGACTGCTATTTTTCAAAAGACTGCTGTATATAATGCACGTTTTTGCTCTCAGGTATACCAATTTAAGACTGTGTGTTTAGATTCAAGTAATAAAAAAATAAAAGATTGACAGAATGTTTTGTGGTTTGCAAGCTTTTATGAGTATATATGGTATGAAAAGCGAGCGAAATATAAGATGCAAGAATAAGGAGTGTTTCGACCATCCTAATATATATAACTACATTTTAATGATTCAATATTGAATAGCAGCTGCCATTTTCAAAACAAACATGCTGAAATGGTGTTGCTGAAGAAAAATTAAATTTGCTGAAGAAAAACTGTTGAAAATTGCATTGAAAGTAAATACCATTTAATCTAAAAGTTTTAAAAATTGTTCAGTATAAATTATAAAACATTTCAATGTTCATAACTTCTTGGTTAGATAAAAAAGGTTATGAGCATTATAACAGGTATGACGCATTTCAGTGTTCAAAAACTCTTGGTTAGATTTTAAAAAGTTCTCTTATAACAGTATAAAAAGTTCTCTAATTTTTGGTAATTTAGCGGGCAAATTTGCTCGACTTTAAGTGGAGACCGGCTGAAAAGCATGTGCACCAAAGGGTCCTAAATCACGCTAATTTGAGCAACTATAGCTATTAAGTCATTCTTCGACGCCGTTCGATACTTTTCAAGATTTTTTCTCAAACGCAATAACCTGCCTCATTTGCTCAATTTTATT